GGTGGCTGCTTATCTCCAGCAACTGCCTCCTGCTGGCGCTCTCAGTAGCCTGGGTGGGCAGGCGAGGAGGGGCTGGAAGGTGGGTTGGGGCTGGGAGAGTGAGTAACTGGCCCAAGGTCGCCCAGCTAGATTTCATGCCTGAGGTTGAACTAGAACTCACAGTCTCCTGGCGATCGACCCAAAATCACCCAGCTGCAGGGGTGAATTGCTACCGGTTCGGGCCGGTTTGCCTGAACTGGTAGTAAAAAATGCTTAACAAAGTAAAAAAAAAAAAAAAGTTCCGGCGATCAGCTGTGCTGCAGGATGGTAGGAAGTTTTTTAAAAAACTTTTTTTTAGCATTTGGGGTTTCTTTTTGTTCCCAGGGGGCTTCCCCGAGGCCTGCTAGGCTAAAAACAGGGAGTGGGGGGATGCTGCGAAAGAAAGAAAGAAAGATGGAGGGATGGAAGAAAAAAAGGGAGGGAAGGGAGAAAGAAAGAAAGAGAGAGAGAGAGAGAGAGAGAGGGAGGGAGGGAGAGAGAGAGAGGCAGTGACTTCTTCCTGTTGGAGCCCTAAAGAGCCGGGGTGGGCCCGCCCACCCGGTCATTAGGCAGATTATATGAGTGGTCCGTGGGATTTAAAATTATGAATTTAGTGGGCCCTGAGGTCCAAAAGGTTGGGGACTCCTGGATTAGAAGATCTCCAAGGTCTCTTCCAACGCTGTTATTCTGTTATACGCCGCTCAGCTCACTCTGAAGAGAGACCCTTGGCTGCTGATAATTGCTGGCATAAATCCTTTCCTTGCAATATTTTCAGACGTAACTGAAGGGCTGAGAGTGAAGAAATTCACCCAGCTGGCTTGTGCCCCAGGTAGGGCTAGAACTCAGAATCTCCTGGTTACTAGTCTGGTGCATTAAACCACTACTACATCAAACCAACTCTCAACCACCAAGGGAAGCCAAATATTCAGTTTTGCTCATCCCAATGGGACCAAGTTGGATTTCGGGGCACTGCTTGGTGCCTGCTGCTTTTCTTGAGCTTTCCCGGGTGAGGGTGGGTGGGGTTCAAGACAGGCGATTTTGCTCAGTCTTACAGAGATCAGGAATTTCTGCAGGTGAAGGAGGCAGCCTACCATTACAAAAAAATATTGGAAATACTGCAGCTGTCAAAAGAAAGGATGCCAAACAAGAAGTGAGCTCTGGCTTAGTTGTAAAACATTAGGAATGACACGTATACTATGCAGCCTGTGTGAAAAAGCCCCCAAGGGTACCATGTTTGCATTGTCACATGTAGCAGCCAGGCCCAAAGGCAAAAAATAATAATAATGCTAAAATACATACATGGTTAGAAAAAAATGATAAAGCAATATAGACATTTCAAACCAGACATATTTTTGTTGGGTTTCTTACTAATAAAGGGAATACATATTTAATTTTACATGTGTTAACGGCAGCAAAAATTATGTTTGTACAACAATGGGGAAAAAAGAGAGGGAAAGTATTATTAAAAACCATTAGAATGTGCTGAGATTTATTTTATTTATTTGTTTTGTCAAGCTTGTATAAGATAATAGAAATAAGTATTTACAAGATTATGAATACATGAAATGGATACAAATAAATGCGGACAGTAGGACAGAGATGGTAGGCACATTGGTGTGCTTGTGCCTACTTATGCACTTACAGACCTCTTAGGAATGGGTGAGGTCAATTGCAGACAGTCTTAGGTTAAAACTATGGGGGCTTGGGGATGTACCAACAGTCAGGTAACTCATTCCAGCATTGGCCGCTCTGTTGCTGAAGTCATATTTTCTGCAATCGAGTTTGGTTTATCTTAAGTTTGTATGTATTGTGTGCTTGTGTGTTGTTGTGGTTGAAGGTGAAGTATTCATTGACAGGTAGAACACTGTAGTAGATAATGTTATGCAGTATGCTTAGGTCATACCGAGATGGATAGATTAACACTTAAAAGGGACTTATTTTACCAATGGCTAACTAACAGAAACAGAGGTTAGGAACTAAAAAGATTAAAAGGATAATTAATTATATAGTGAAATTTTAAGAAGATGGATAAGCTAATCATACTATTACCATTTGATTAATATAGATATGCATATTATGATTATCATTATTATTATATCTCTATTCAAAACTAATTGTACCCGACAACACATTGTTCAGATAGATATGGAGTTTTTAAATATATATTAAAAAGTGTTAATTAAAAAAAAAACACCTTCCAAGGGTGCAATTCCAAAGATCACCCATCCTCATGTCCAAATTTCCCAAAATTGCAGAAACGCTGAAGATGATCAAAAGCCAATTATATTTAATAAATATAATTATTTCAATTATATTTATGTAAGGGGGCGTGCATAAGCGCACCAGCGCGCCTGCCCTCTCTGTCCTACTGTCCCCATTTCCTGTTTTCATGCCCATGTATATACTTATACCTGTTATCTCATACATGCTTGATAAACTAAATAATAAATATTTCCTCCTTTTAGGAGCTCCCCCTGCTTTCTTCAACGAACAAGAGTTTTTGTTTTTTACCTTTCAGGAGTTTCCGGAAAATCTCTTTTTCTAGCTCTTGTAGGCTCTTTGCCATGGCTTCCATTTGGGGGGGTACGCGGGGCCCCCAAAAACTGGCCCTGTTCAGGCTGCTTTCACCGGCGAGACTCAGGGGCAGGTAAGGGGGCGACACCCCCTTCCCCGCCGCAGTCATGGCGGCTCTTTCGCCCCGCAAAAGGAAGGCGAGGCAGGCGCCGAGTTTTTTTTTTGCAAAGCGCTGCAAAAGCAAACCCAGCCGATTGCTCACGTCACCTTCCCCATTCCCGGGGAACGTTCCATTCCTCGCGGGCGCACCCTAGCGAGGGAAAGGCGTAACTGCCGACGCTTTTTTTTTTTTTTTTGCCGAAGGATCGCTTGGCGATTGGTCGGGCTGACCGAGAGGCTGCTGGGAGTTGTTGTTTTCCACATCTGGATTTGCAAATTTCATCTCCAGCGTGGTGGTAGCCTCTTTCTGGCTGCTTTTGCATTCTCCAAGCCAGCCTGATGGATTCTCTTTACAGTGACCACATGTCCTTTATCGTAAAGGGCGATATTTTATATCAGAAAATTCCCCTTTATTTATTTATTGTTTAAATCACTTCTGTTCTTTATTTGAGTCATTTCATTTTTACCATACCAATGGAAACATTGTTCTTCATGTTCATGTAAAAACCATGGATATTTAATGGTCTTTTAAAAATGAATGCACATATCATACGGTTTGATTGTAGATATTTTTTTATTAGAAAGTGTGCTTTTGAAAACTTTTCCTTGGTTTGGCTCTTAAGACTTTTTTTCTCTGCAAAACAATGCTTTAAACATCAGTTTAAAATCCTCATAACCTTTTTTTCCCAAGTTTATATTTATTTTTTTTCCAGGAAAATATGGTCATTGGAATGATTCCCCATGTCTTTCCTTATCTTGAGGTAGAGATTAATTAGAGCCTGCCCTTGAACAGTGCTGAACTAAGCATAGTAGGGGGCATAGCCCAAATCCAGCCCGTGGGATTAATAGAGCACTAATGAATTAATTAATCCAATTAACACAGATCAAGTCACACATTAGACCGGATTACTTAGTCCAATGTTTCTCAACCTTGGCAGCTTGGAGAACTATAGATTTCAGCTTCCAGAATTCTATCTTGGCTGGGGAATATCGGGAGGTGAAGGCCGTATATCTTTAAACCACTGAGACTGAGAAACATGGAATTAACCATTAGCTCATCCGTTATCTTCAAGGAAGGGGCAGACTTCGAACCTGGTGCACATCTTCATTGACTTTATCAACTGATGGCAGCACTTGGCTGGTCTTCTCTGGGCTGGGAAGGTAATGAAATCTGGAGTTGGTTAATGCATAGATGGGCCCAAATTGTAGCTAAAGTGAAGAGTAGAACCGACAGAAGAGAATATTTGTATCTGGGTTCAACTGTAGGGTCCTTGATGCGTTGGATTTGGTTGTTTTCTTGCAGACATTTCATGACCCAACTAGGTAACATAACCAGTGCTAGGAGGAGTAGATTTTGTGGAGTGGAAGAGAAGAAGCAGAAGGGGGAAAAGAAGAACTTTGGGGTCCTTGGGGTTCTCTGAGCCTGGCTGTTTTCTTGCAGACGTTTCATGATCCATCTAGGTAACATCTTCAGTGCTAGAAGGGGCCTGCATATAAGCAGAGAGCAAAGCCCCACCCCCTTCTAGCCCAGCCAGAAACACTGGTGCAGGTGGATGGATGGGAGGCATTGATTTAGATAGATAAATAGGATACATGGGTGGGTGGATAGTTGAAACCCCCCCCCTGTAGATAGAGAAATGGATGGATGGGTGAAAAGTTGAGAGTACCTGTGGAGACAGATAGATGGATGGATGGATGGGTGAATAGATGGATGAATAATTGAGAAACACCGGTGTAGATAGATAAATGGATGGATGGATGGATGGATGGATGATGATGATGATGGGGACTGCAGGGCCCTTGGTGCTCTCTGAGCTTGCTTGTTTCCTCGCAGATCTTTCACGACCCAACTAAGTAACACCATCAGTGCTTCAGGCGAGTGGTGTTTGCTCTTATTGTTACATATCAGCGTTGGAGAGTCATACAAAGAAACCTCCTACAAGAGGAAAGAGCCTAATCCACCTTACTTGTGGCTCCCAAGGCGCATTCCCACCTTCCAACGCAAGGGGCTCTGCAGACCAGAAAGAGGCCGCCTTCCTTACGCGAACGCGCTCTCCTCGCCCTCCCAGACAGCGGAAGTTAGCGAAAGCCACTTCCGGCAGCCGGCCTGCGCTGCAGCCTGAGGCAATTTTTTTTCACCCTTTTTCCATCGTCCGGCGCGGCGGGACTTGCCTGATGGCGGCCGGCTGAGGGCGGCCTAGGCCCGGCTCGGCTCGGCCTTCTCCTCGCGCTGATGGCCGGCGAAGAGCCGCAGAAGTTCCTGGCGCCCGACGAGCCCGGCGCCGTCCTCTCGCCGCTGCCACCGCCGCCGCTGCGCCACCCGCCTCGCCTGGCCGACGAAGGCCCGGCCTGCCTGGACGTCAGCGACTTCGGCTGCCACCTCTCCTCCTGCCACCGCACCGACCCGCTGCGCCGCCTGCACGCCCACAGGCGAGGCCCGGGGATGGGGGGCGGGTGTGTGTGGGGACCCTCCTCCCGGCCTACCTCACGGGGTTGTTGTTGTGAGGAGACCGGACTCCCCACCGCGCAGACTGGGTCCCTGAGGCAGGGCGGGGATGAGGGGTCCTGAGGTCGGGGAAGGGGACGGGCAGGGTTGGAAGGTTGGGGTGGCCCCGCAGGTGGCGTTTCCTGCCTGAACAGAGGGTTGGACTAGATGACCTCCAAGGTCTCTTCCTGCTATGCTGTTTCTATTCTATTCCCTATATTCTACTTGATATATTTTCTAACCGATCTCTATAAGTACTCTATACTTGCCCAATAAAGACTGTCCTGCCCTGTCTTCTGCCCTGTCTTCTGTCCTGTCCTGTCCCGTCTATTCCATTCTATATTCTGTTCTGTTCCTATTCCGTCCAATCATACTTGCCCAATAAAGACTGTCCTGTCTTCTGTTTTCTATTCCATTCCTATTCCTTGCGTTTCCAATCACACTTGGGCAATAAAGAATATTCTAGTTAGTCTATTCTATTCTCTATTCTATTCCTATCCCTCTATATTTCTATTTCAACATTCTCTTCTATCTGGAGGAGAATACAGGTAGTCCTTGACTTACAACAGATCATTTAAGGACCCTTCAAAGTTACCACGGTACTGAAACATGGGACTCAGGACCGTTTTCCACACTGAACGACTACGGTCACATGAGCAAAATTCAGATGCTCTGCAACCGTTTTGTATTTACGACAGTGGCAGCGGGTCCCTAGGGTGTTACAGGATCCCCTTTTGTGACCTTCTGACAAGCAATGTGAAGGGAGAAAGCCAGATTCACATAACGCCTGGGTTACCAACTTAATGCCTGCAGTGATTCACTTAACAAACGTGGCAAGAAAAGTTGTAAAATGGGGCAAACTCACCTAACAGTTTTATCACTTGGCAACATAAATTTTGGGATCGATTGTGGTTGTAAATTAAATAAGAATCCAAATTAGGAGTTTGGATTTTCTTAGCAGAGTATTCTAGAACAATCAAATTTAGGCAGATAATGGAATGACAGAGTTGGAAGGTAGTCCAATCTTCTGCTCAAGCAGGAAACTCTAAACCATTCGGGACAAAATATTGTCCAATTTCTTCTTGAGAATTTCCAGTGTTTGAGCATTCACAATTTCTGGAGGCAAAATTCCACTGATAAATTGTTCTCACTGTCAAGAAATTTCTCCTTACTTCTAGGTTGCTTCTCTTTGATAAGCTTCCATCCATCAAAGGTGCTTTTTCAAGAGCAACTGGACTTTCTGGCTTTTCTTTGAAAAGACGTTTTGCTTCTCATCCAAACAACTTCTTCAGTTCTACTTCTTGGATGGGAAACGAAACATCTTCAAAGAAAAACCAGAAAGTCCAGTTGCCTCTTGAAAAAAAAAGCACCTTTGGGACAACCCTGACCTGGATGACTGAGAATTTCCATAGACACGTCCCTCCATCACTTCTTGCCTTGCCTTGAGGTGCTTTGGAGAATAGGTTGACCCCTCCCCTCCTCTCTGTGGCAGCCCCTCAAATATTGGGACCGGCTATCATGTCACTCCTAGTCCTTCTTTTCATTAAGGTAGGCATGCTCAGTTTCTGCAGTCGTTCTTCAGAGGTTCTTGTCTCCTGTTAAAAAAAATTGTGAAGGATGGTGGAATTTCAAGTGATAGTAATTGGTTGGTTGATTTCTATCAATTTAAACTCCAGACAACTCTGGACATTGCAGGGACCCCCTCCCCTCTTGCATTTGCAGGCTATTTACAGACCCATTCATGTTTTGTAGGTATTACTTAATTGTTGCTTCTTAACAGCAGAAGTGGTCAGGGAAAGTTTTCTGCCCCTTCACATGACCAAGAAAGCCAATGCAGGAAATGTACGGTAGTTATTTGCTAATTTTGTCTTTGGGGATTCTCTGAATTGCTACCTTTGCGGTTATTTTTGTAACTGCAAAAGCAACATCTGGGGTGCCTTACATGCTTATTTGTGGACATACAGTGGCAAAATATTTGTGTTGCCTGACACACATCTTCCCAGCTGAGATTTTAGCATTGGCTAATTCACTATAAGTAACGTAACTACTACAAATATTGCTGTATTTGTAGATGAGTACTGTTTTTGAAATGCTGTAGAAAGGAAGTGAGTTTTGATTTTATTGCATTTGTAAGAGAGGGGTAAGATTCAACTTGTTTTCTACCTCTTTCATAATCCCAGCTCGGGGCATTTAAGGTAGAGTGTTTGGGTTATTTCTTCTTGCAGAAAATTCTTATTGCTAAGAAATAACGCTGTCTTAATGACACATGATCAATTGGATTACTTAGAATACTCTGCTTTCTAAATGATAACTTATAACATCTGAATGTTACCCAGTTCCCAGCAAAGCTGAGTGATGACAGATTGAAAACATTAAAACTAAGAAAAAAGTACAAAAAGCAAAAAAAAAAAAAAAAAAAAATGGGAAGGGTGGCAAGATTCTTGAGACAGTCCTTTAAAATAAGTAGCATTTCCTGCTTCTCTTACTTTGTTTCAATATTGACCTTTTCTTTTTCAGATGGCATTTAACCTCTTGTGGCACAAGCGTAGCCAGCTCTGAATGCAGCGAGGAGCTCTTCTCTTCGGTCTCTGTGGGTGACCAGGATGATTGTTTCTCTCTCTTGGATGATCAGGAGTTAACCTCTTTTGACCTCTTCCCTGAGGGGAGTGTCTGTAGCGATGTCTCTTCCTCCATTAGCACGTACTGGGACTGGTCAGACAGTGAATTTGAATGGCAGGTAAAGAAAAATATATATATGAGTTTGCAGTGGCTTGGGCAAAGGGGAGAAACTGTGCTGTCCAATGCTGCCAGAATTGCTAGAACAACCCTCAAAATGTTAGACCAGCATTTCCACTCATTGTTTCTTGTCTTGCCTTCTGGTGCTTTGGACCCCCAAATCTTCTTTGCTGCCGCCCCACAGATATTGGAAGGCTGCTGTCATGTCCCTCCTAGTCCTTCTTTTCCCTAAACATACTGAATTCCTGTAACTGCCCTTCGTATGTCCTTGTCTCATCACAAATGATTGTGGAAGTCCTTTGGAAGGATGGTGGGATCAGGTTTCTCGCCGTCACCCATTTTTAAGATGCGTGGACTTCAATTCCCAGCTGTGCTGGGTGGGGAATTCTGGGAATTGAAGTCCACATGTCTGAAAACTGCTGAAGGATGAGATACACTACCTTAGATATGGTTATTTTAAAAAAAAAACACTGCTTCTGCAGCGGAATGTCTTTCATGTTGCTCTATTTAGGCTTGAGTCTGGATTTAATTTATTTATCAAGTGTTAATAATCTGTGTGCATTATTAAGCAGATATTCTGATTTTGTTCTATTTAAGCTGCCTGGCAGTGACATTGCAAGCGGGAGTGATGTGCTGTCTGACATCATTCCCAGCATCCCGAGCTCCCCTTGCCTGCTTCCAAAAAAGAAAAACAAACACCGGAATCTCGATGAACTTCCCTGGAGTGCCATGACCAACGATGAGCAGGTAAAATCCTTGGCAATTTGGAAGACCGGTGAGTCTTTTCCAAAATACGGCCCTGGGCTTGGGACTGGGACTGGCATGGGGGTATGCAAAGGAGCCAGATCAAGTAATAAAGAAAGAAGAGGGTCTCTTACAGTACATTATGCTAGCAAGAGAGTCAGTTAGACTAGTTAATTAATTAATTAGACCCAAATCTTTTTTTTTTTTTTTTTTTTTACTTTTATTAAACATTTATAGGCTGCCCTTTTCCCTGAGGGGACTCAGGGCGGCTTACAATAATAGGGGAGGGAAGTGCAGGACAAAACAC